ACTGGCTTGCTGAGGTGACGTAAGGTTAGGGTTATGGCACGAACTGTTATTTATGTTGCGCGGTAAGCAGGCAGATGTGGACTGACAGGCAATGCGTCTGCTGTCAAGATATGGATAAACCCGCGTTCAGAAGATAACACAAAGGCAGACACACCTGTGACAAACACTGGATGACAGACACATATGCTCAGATGTGCAGCACCTATCGCTAGAGATAAGACTTCCTTTGCTGTCTCTCACTACCAGTGATACATACCACACACACACAGACGTACCACTCGGTTTTGAGGGCCTGAGCAGCATCTTTTGACTGTGTGCCTAATGATAATAAATGAGCCATCATGGGTGGGGAGGGAGACACTAAGTCATCCCCTTCATCGACAGGAGTAAGACTGGGAGCCCCAAGGTCACCCCACTGTCAGCATCACTCTCCCTAACGACTGCTCGCTCGCTCACATGCACAAATTCATACATGCACACATTCATACATGTGCACATACATACATGTGCACATACATACGCACACACAGACAAAGCAGCAAAAAGTGCACCATGCCATGTCCAAACTCAAGCACACATGCATACGCACATGCTGGAGACCTCATGGCGAAACATACTTCAAGAAACTCAGATGTATTTATTTTCAAGATAATCCCTTACATTTATTGGACATTTTAACCAAAGAATAATCTCTGTCAGGGGCAATAAAAGTAGAAAAATGCAGCATTTAACATAAAAGCAAAGATAAGCTGAAAGTCCGAAATAGTTTTATAGCACACCTTTTTTTAAGTTTAGTTTTATCCTGTCTCTTGCTTAATAGGCGTGTGGCGCAATGGATAGAGCCTTGGTGTTCGGATCAGGGGGTCACAGGTTCAAACCCCGCTGCAGTCAGCATGTCGTTGTGTCCCTGGGCAAGACACTTCACCCCAAATTGCTCCTGTGGGGATTGTCCACAGTATTGAGTATGTAAGTCGCTTTGGATAAAAGCGTCTAACAAGTAACATGTAATGTAATATCCTTCAGATTTACCCCTTAGAAACCTGTTTTCTAATTTGAGTTTGAATTTAGAAAAAAGGAGAAAAACCCATTTGAACCCATCAATCGGAAGTTATTTGCTTGCTCTCAAAGTGTGATTTTTGATACATTACCAACCCGTGACCTCACCATGCGCAGTAAGTATACATGATATCACCAGCCAGCGTTTCCCCTTTAGCTAACTAGAACCAGATCAGATCAGCTGAGGAAGACAAGCGTAACAGAATCATGTCTTTAGAAAACCACTGACCCTCCTGATTTCCGGCCCTCTCCCTAATGAGCTGCCACGCATTGTCATCTCTCAGAGGCACAGATCTGAATTCAAATCCTGAAAAGGGGGGGCCAAGTAAATTCCTCCAGTCAAGAGACACAAACTAAGTCCAAACAAGTGAATGTTATTAATGCTGTACTGAAAATGTAAGTTTGTGGGAGAGAGGAGGCATCGGAAGACGCGTTGAAGAAATGAACAGGAAGGTAGCGCCTTCACTTTCAACTGTGGGAATTCTTTTCACACACACACACGGGCACATATATAGATTACACAAGCACACACATGCATTGGGCACATACACACACACACACACACACACACACACACACACACACACACACACACACACACACACACACACACACACACACACACACACACACACACACACACACACACACACCACACACACACACACACACACACACACACCACACACACACACACACACCACACACACACACACACACACACACACACACACACGCACAGGTTGCAAGTTTAGACTGTAGCTGTAGAAAGCTAATTTGCACCACATTTGAAATGCATCTCAATTAAAGAGAAACACATCGAGGTGCCAGGGGAGGAGAGAAGAGAGAGATGTGAGAGAACGGGAGGGAGGAACGGGGTGTGAAACAGATAGTGTGTGAGAGTATGAGAGTAATAGAAAGGGAGGGGGGGGAGTGAGCTCAACTGTATTTGGCAAGGAAAGAAGGGAGGGAGAGAGAAAGAGAGAAGGAGAGAGAGAATGTTTTCATCTCCCTCTCTTGGAAAAACATCTCATTTTGGGATGAATCAGATTTAGAAAGGGTGTTAGGAGGTTGAGGCGCAGCTCAAATCCTAACTAACTTCAACCTCGTTAACACCAGCTCTTTGGTTTGATGCCAGCTCACCAGGGCTGTCCCTCTCAAACTGTGTGTGTCTGCGGGTATGTGTGTGTAGTCAGATATTTTTAAGCCCAAGGCCGTGTACTGCTTGACAGAAGGGATGGATACCTACAAGACACAATAGGGTTTCACCTGAGTAAGTAGTGTAACTGCAGGCCTGCACTAATGTGATTTTGGTATTTTGAGAATATGTTGAACAATTTGTCACCTTAAAAAAATAATGAGTACATTAAGTGTGTAAGTGCCTGTTATGTGTGATTTTGTAAGTGTGCGTCCGAGAGAACAAATAACAACCGGAGGAAAGAAACACACACATACACAAACACACACACAATCTGTCACATGGAAAAATCAGGATTGGCTTTGTATTCCGCTACAATTTTTCACGGACTGTCATGTTCTTAAGACTGTGATGATGCTGCCAGCCCACCATCTCAACAACAACACCAAATACAAGTCGATTCATTCTTTCATGCTGTCAAAAGATACTCAACGTGTCTACTTTCTTGCAAAAGCCCCTTAACCCGGTGTTTGCCTCTGTTTCAATATAAGTCATGCAGCTCTTATAGTGAAGAGCATTCTGGGAAATCAAGTCCTTTTGATATTGTTCTAGTGTAAGATACAGCACCTTACTCCTGACTACAGTAATGTTTTATCATCAACGTTATTACATCATTATCATTATGATGTAGTGTCCCTTATCAGTTTATGTGATAATCAGATTTGTAAGAGCCAGATCACTGTCATCATCATCTTGACTGCCATCAGCGACACCATGTCAGCACATCATCTGATAAGACATCACCCTCATTTTCACCTGACGAAAAACTGATGGGGTCGTCTAGGCTAAATGATTACTTTGTTGCATGATTGCCTGGCCATGCCAACAATGAGATGCAAATCTCTACAATAGCATTTGTGAGAATGACAGACTGAAACCCTTCTGAAGAGAGAAGAGCAGGTAAATTGAGATGGGAAGACACAGGGCACTCTTCATTTGAAATCAATTTCCTTTGATATGTATCTACGTTTACATTTAATATAGCTAGAAACATGAGATAAATTCTGTTTATTAGATATCTATAGCTCACCCCAATGGTAGTGTATCATATTTCTCCTCCACTCTCACCTTTAGCTTTTTGGGCCACTGAAAAACCGAGGAGAGAAACAGTACGGTATGAGGGACCTGCTGTTGTACAGGAAGATACCTGAGTTATGAGACAGTCTCATGTACACTTCTTGTAAGAAGCTGGTCTTGTTAGGTCATCCCTTAGCCTGCCCTTGTTTGTCTTACAGTCACATCGCTAAACAAAAAAAAAGCATCGGCCTTCTTTTATATAAATCTCAGACTGGCGACAAGCATGTCAAAGCTTGGAGAACCTACTGTGTATCAGTGAAGGCCCTGACAGCTAAATATATAAATATATAAGCTAAAAGAAAAACTGCTTACATGGGTTTTCCTCTTCCTCCAATACTTTGAGTTAGCATAATCTCTCCCTCTCCCTTCCTCCCTCTCTCTGTCCCTCTTTTCTTTCTGCTCACTTATTCTTTACTTGCATACACATGACTGAGCAAAGCTGGCACACACACACACACACACACACACACACACACACACACACACACACACACACACACACACACACACACACACACACACACACACACACACACACACACACACACACACACACACACACACACACACACACACACACAACACACACACACACACACACACACACACACACACACACCAAGACATACACATTCCTGGGTACATGCTTCACAATGACAGCACCATACTGTACATGGACAATAAAACACATCAGCAAACTACTCAGACAACCTCCACAAGCACTTTCTCATGTCCTCTGTTTCTTAACAGCGCCTCAATCTGCCCTTGATGACACTGCTTATGAGCCTTAAAGCAGCTCTCTGTTGTGTGCTGACTGATCGACTTGTCATTACATTAAGTAGGGACTCTCTATTAGTGCAAATGGTGGCACATAACCAGATAATCGGCTGTGGACAGCAAGTGTGGCTATGTGGGAGGTGAGATGCTAACGGATGGTGTGTGGGAGAGTAATGTTTTATGTTGGAGGAAGTGTGATATCTCCATTATAGACAAGCTTAATTGATAAACAGGACAATAAAAGCATCAAATGGCCCCATAGATTTCTGCCTACGGCACAGCCAGCAGTACTGTAGGATGTCAGTAACACTATAAATATGATGGGGAGTAATGGCAATGATAATAATAGCATATCAAGTAGAGGATTAAGAACGATATCAGACATAATTGAAGAGAAATAAAAGAGTAATAAAACCCCTCTCATAAAATAAGGGGAGCCGAGCTTCCCTGAGGGATACCTCAAATGTTTCTTTCTTCTCACACTCCTCACTCCTATAATCTCTCCCCTACTCCCTCACCCCGGCCCGGCTCTACTTTACTCAATGCACCCTTCGTGGTAGGAATACTAACTGATAATTGTCACAAATGGCCACGTTTAATTACCATGCATAATAAGCGCGAACTTCGCTGCCATGGGCTAACATTTTAAAGACAGGAGCGAGAAAGCTTCGCCACCACGCGGGCTTTCTTTCAGCTCCGGGCTTTCGTGAGCAAACAAATCATGTAACGCTATTTTAAGTGTGATTTAAAAGAAGACCAAAGTGCCCGGGTATTTTGGACACGCCCGTTTCAAATCATTAAAACAAAGCCACATGGGACACTTTACCGTTTCCCGGAGATTGCCAAATGATTAAACAAAATCAAGGTAACATTTCGGTAAAAGTGTGCTCACCAGAATTTACGGATCAGAGCTCGGTGTACGGAGAATCCCGAGGAGTTTCCCTGTCTTTCTTCACCCCAAGTTGAAGGCAGCGATCAGACGCGCTCCCACAGTCCCGACTGAACTGCAAAAGGAAAAGGTAAGACCACATTGAGAGAAAGCACGTCAGCCTCTCAACATCCCGGGCGGCAATCGAGGTCAACCACCCAAAAAGTACATCAATAATTACACACGTTTATCCCACTAATCCGGGACTGTACCTCTTAAACGCGCCGGGATGACCACCATTGAACGAGACGGAAAAAGGACCAGGCAAGGCAGCGGCTGTCAGATTTGACTTCAAACTGATGCTGACGATGCGCACCGAGATAAGCTCCGGAGGAGGGGAAGAGGGGAGGGGGGAGGGAGAGAGAGAAAAAAGAGAGGGATGGAGAGCAGGGGTGCAGACAGATTTAGAGAATTGAATTAAACAATCCAAAACTTAAAAGTTATTCAACTAGGTCAAGATATGAAACACAAAGGACCTATGTATAAGATGAATTATACCACATTAATTCATGAAAAATCCCAATTTTACAGAAACTCTCAAAGGTTTATGGTTGCAATACAATACTATAATTCCTGTACAGTCAACATGCCCTGAGGCTAACAGCCACAAGCAAGACGGGGGTCCTGCTGCCACACACACAGATGTATTATACAATATATGCACCGCATGTCTTTCAGATGTTTTAGGCGGCTTACTTGCATCAAGAAAGAAGATCATTTGAACATAAAAATGGCAAAAAGAAGGAGACAGGATGATAACTGCAAACAACATTTACAAGTATGCTTTACAAAGAAGCATCCTCAAAGATGCTTTCAAAAGATGACCGGAGACTTTTTGGCTCCCAGCCAGACTTACAGTACCTCTGGTGGCGGGGGCATCTCTAGAGACTCGCAGCATTTGCAGTGTTTATCATCCACACATTCAAGATTCCTTTCGATAAATGGATTGCTACAAATGAGTGACTGAATACACAAATGCGTATAAGGTTTCTTTTTAAGGCAGTATTGGGCCACATTTTTCTAAACTAAGACCATTCAATGAACACACTTTTTGGATTAAAGCCTTTAATCAGTACAGTAGTAAAACCAGATGTGCGTTTTTACACAACAAATGTCATGTTTTTTTAATGCAGGGGCAGTTGTTTAGGCCAATCATTGACTACTTAAATTGAGATAAGTTTACATCTGGGGGGCTTACCACCTCGGCTATATTATTACCATGAGGGAAACCCTTCTACTATATTATAAGAAAGACAGACAGAGAAAAAATAAATGCAAACAAACATGATTATATGTCAAGTACGGTATATCTGTGTGTGCGTTAAAACAAATTACACTTACAAAACTTTGTATGATAAACTTGTACTGTAGGCAACATCTATATGTAATGTAAAACATACAAGGATGTCTGAAAAGTTAAACTCAAATATGAGACAGGTGATACTTGTGGAGTTAAAAAGGTAAGAAAAATGTGTAGTTTTAATATTTAATTAACAAATAACCATATTTATTTTACGTAAGGCCACAATACCAACCACATAGGTATTTTATTTTTATTTTATTATTTTTGTAATTCCACTTTCAAACACATCCTGCAGGCAGACGGTTCTTGTCCCACTCCTGAATATCATCTTTTTCATTACCGGCCATCTTGACGGCTTGGTAAATGCCGCGACTCACAAAGTTAGTGGTGTCAGGCTTCTCAACACTCTCCTGCCTGACACAATAGAACAAATATATATACTACAGGAGAAAGAGGAGAGAAGATGGATGAAGTGAGTAGAAAAAGGGCAAAGGTCAGGGTGAGATCCGTGTCCGTCTTGTGCTATCTTTGCAGCGAGAGGAAAAGAGGAAAACGGAGGAGGAAGAAGAATAATTCCAAGTGCTGAATCTTTTCTTTTCATATCTCATTCCTGAGTCACCACTTCATCTGTCCACCTACCCCTAGCTCTCCTTTTCTCTCTCTCTCTGTCTTCGTCCTCTCTGTCTCTCTACCCCTTTTTTCATATCCATCCCTGCTCTCCCTCTCTCTTTCTAGGAGCATCTCTTGTTTGTTCATGCACCCAAATGTCTGCAACATCCTGCTCTCTATTTACAGAGCATGTGGGATGAAATGTGTGTGTATTTGTGTGTGTCATCTTTGTACTTGTGTATCTCTGTGCATCCGTCAGTTTATGTATGTGGGTTCTTTGGAGTGTTTTTTTGTGATAAGTTGAAATATTGATCTGTGCATTGTATGGTATACATATCTATGTTTACCACATGATGAAACTGTTCACTAAAAGAGACAACCGGTCAAAAGATACTTGCCTGTATATGAATCAATAAGTCAATTGGTCAGTTAGATAATTGGTTAATCAATCAGATCGTTTTCATGTTTCATTGCAAAGGGCAGACAGAGGAAGTCAAAAGGAAGGGCAGGAGTAAATATCATAAAGCCTTTATTTCTGGATTTAAAGTTTCAGACTTTCTTTGTGAAAGCTATGTTGGCTTCAGAGCGGTTTATTTAAGGCTCTCTGGGACTCAACACTTCAGTAGATTTTGGTTTAAACCTGGATTTCAAGGTGATGAATCTGATTGCTATGCACCTGCTGTTCTATCTGTATCCATCTGTCCATCTGTATTCGCCTTCATGATTCACCCAAATAATAAGAGGAAATTCGTTGTCTATGTTTTTATGCAGGCTCTGCAATGCAGGCAGTCCTCCTGTGCTTAACTGTATAAAGCAGGTGCATACCTAAGAGATTGGTAGAATCTATTTTTATAAATGGAGAAAAGTAGAGTTTGCACTTATTAGGTTACATGAACTGGCATGTTGAATGGCTCATATGCAATTTTGAACAGATCACCATTTTTCTGTTCTGCATAGTCCTGAGTTTGTCAAAGTGTGAATATCCTATAAGTAACACTAAATAAGCCCCATTGGAAAACTATAGAGGCAACTTCTCTTCCTTTTTCTTAATTACCCATCCCCTGGGCTGCCATCATTAAGGCAAGCCAGACACTGGGACATATTTGGCATTATATTTTTAATGCTACAACAACCGGCTCAGCAAAAAACCACCACAGATTATTCACAGCGTGTGTTTTGGCTGGGCTCCATATACTGTGACACATTATTAGACTCTGTCTTCCCCTCCTCTTCCACCTTCTCTTCCCCTCTCCTCATCTCCTCCTCTTCCTCTCTCCTCATCTCCTCCCTTCCTTCATCCTCCCTTTCCCTCCTCAGATGCTTTTCTTCCTCTGAAGAATTAAAAACAAAAAAAGCTCCTTCATACATGTTTTGTCGATTCACCTACAAGGTCTGTATTGCCGTTTCTGTGCTCTGCAAGTGGGGCTGACGGTGCATTGTATGTGTGCCGGTTGTTTGTGTGCCTCTGTGTGCAGCAGGAAATTCAAAAACTAGGCCATATAGACCACCAAGGGGTTTGAAAGCTCAGGGGGTACCAAAGCAACATGGTTTAAATAAGGAAAAAAAATGTGTTTCAAACACCATGGAGGGGGAAAAAAGACAACGCATATGCACATTATCACACACACAAGTAGACATGCATACATGCAAACACGTGCACACAGACACACACAGACACACACAGACACACACACAGACACACACGGACACACACAGACACACAAACCCCTCCCATCTGATAAACCCCTGGCTCACATTGTGTTCAAAGAGTAACATCAAACACTTAATCACACACAAATCTAAATAAATCTTAGCCAGCTTGATAAACATCCATGTTTCATTTATATGTGCCTCATCAGCCTGCGCTGGTGGCCAGCTATTTTTCCATAGATTAGGGCTTCCCCTGCTGTCAGCCTCAGAGCGATGAACTGCAGACCTTGTCACTATCGACCCAGTTCAGAGCATAATGGATATGAATGGGATCAGCCCCTATTGGTTTTGAATTTTATCTCAGAGGTGGTGGTTTGACTCACCTTTTAACCACATCAGTGGTTTGATAGGTCAAAGCAAAATAATTCAGCTGTGGGTTTGAAAGTGATTATATTAATAGGATATGGTTACATGGGGAATGAGTTAACATAACAAATCTGTTTCATCTTTAATCAGACTCTCATTTTTAAAGTTTAAATGTTTGAGAAAGCAAAATACACTTCAAGACTATTAATCGAAAAAATGTACAGTCTGTGTGAGTGAGGTTGGGATTTAAGTTTCTTTCTTTCAAGATGACTGGGGTTATCAATAATGCCATTAATATTACCCTATATCCTCTTTTTTTTTCCACTACAGGTCATCCCCTCCCCAACTGCGTCTCAATTTAGACATTGATTATTTCATTTAACTTTTGACCTTAAGACCTTAGGCTCCCACACAGCAGAAAATAGAAACCTAACCTCACACCATAAGGTCAAGTCACCATGCTGGATATTGGAGGTTAAAGAAAATATGTATGATACTTCCAATTGAGCCGGGGGACTCACTAACTAAACACACTTTCCTTTCGTCATTTGAACACTATGGTCTCTAAATGTTTTCTTTAAAATACATCAAATATAACAATTATAATAATTGTGGTCACCCCAATGTCTACTACTCATGCTTTTACAGCTACTGATTCATTATTTTGAAAAGTAGGATCTGTGACAAGCGGCTGTACAGATATACTTGTAGAGCAGAATGACAGGTAGCTCTTAGACATCAGAAATGTTGTATCATACCGAATGGTTGAGGTCCTATTGTCACAAAAATACAGTGTAAACTTTGATATTTAGCTTCAACATTAGGTAGTTAGCTAGCTTATGTGGCTAATGTTTTAGGGTGCTTATCAACAATTGGAATGCCAAGTCTGCCTCAGTGTTTTGATGTCAAGAGCACCTTTTGCTTTGCAATTGTTGCTCTTGACTCCACGGCACTTGGATTTTAGAGGAACAACACAATTATGCCTTTTACACAACAGACAATTTGACAAGTTACAGTAGGGAAAGCACAGTTGGGGATAATTAAATTAACGATGGCTGAATTCCAATTAGTTGGCACAGTTCCAG